GCAGAAGGCGCTTGGCAGCGTGGGTGCCGGGCACGCGTGTCTGACTGTGGACACCTGGAGTAGGGGTGTGGCCATGCGTACGTGTGCACACCTGAGCTTAGGGGCTGGGGATATAAGGGGGCATCACCCCAATGGCTATGGGGGGCTGCTACGAGAGGCGTGGCTACAGAAGAGGTGAGATCACAGACAATGTGCCAGAGAGAAAGAGCCCAGAGAAAGCAAATAGAGATTCCTGTAGGGCTGGGAGGCTCAGTTGTCATCAGAGCCTCCTGGACCCCCTGCCTGCCTGTCCTGAGCCTGGTTGCCCCACTAGAACCACAAACACAACTCTTGCCTGCTTCTCTCTGCTCTTGATCTTGTTCTCTAATGCAGACCTCCATTATCTTGAACCCACCTGATTTCCTTCCACCCGCGTTTTAGGGCATCCCTGCCTGGAGTCTGAGCAACTATCCGGGGGGATCAGGCAGCCCCTGGTCAGAGGAGGCAGGGACCCTCCTGTGTCAGCAAGTCAGCCTGCTCCACACAATGTGGGGGAAATTGAGTTGGCCTGTGCAGTTGGGGGTGGACGGGGGCGTCTGCAGCCTGGCTCACCACAAGCCAGACCCCCCTCCTAAGAAACAGGAATGGGCAGGTCCAGGAGGAGCTGCTGAGATGCTGGTTTGGGCTGGGGCTGACTAAAATGGCTGAGCCTCTCTGTAGAGCGAGCTCTGAAGTCTGGGGCACTGTGATTAAGGGCACTCTCTGGCATCACCAGAAGGGAACTTATTCTTGGCAGAACGTCAGAATTCACAGCCAGCCTTGCTCATAAATCGTAGCCAACCATGAAATATCAGGCTGTACCCCAACCTCTCCCCTTTCCCACCCACTCCATCCTAACGACTTTTCTTTCTGCAGCCAGACATTCTCTCTGGTCAGAAAAAGTTTAGCAGGGTTAAAAATACTATACCCTTCTATACATTCAGGTTCCTGCCTGCCACCAGGACTTGGAGAAAAGGAATTCCCAGACCCCGACTCCCTTCCTCTCTCCTAGTTCTCCAGCTGCTCCCGGAGCTGACCCTGGTGCTCAATAGCTCCTTCCCCAAGAGAGGCTGGGACCCCTGTCTCCAGCAGACCTCATTGCTATATTGTAAAGAATCAGATAAGCCTTTCTAATAAGACAGAGTTGAGGGAGAGTCATTGTTAGGAGAAGTTCTGGACACATCTCCACGTTGTGTGTGTGGACAGAGGAGTGGTCGAAGATAAGGAGGACCAGGGAGAAACTAAGAGAGAAAGATTTCTTAAGAAGGAAATATATCTTAGGAGGGAGAGTCTGAGTTGAAGGGGAACGTGTAGGACTTTGGGGACACCCTGAGAACTACCCCGAGGAGGAGGGGGCCTCACTCTGGAAAGTGTGATTTTTCTTTACTAAGTGATCAGCTAGACACCAGTCTGTACATGAGAACTCACTGCCAAATTTTCAAGAATTTTGCAAACCACTTAAACATCTCTTTGGTAGACTGAAATTAACCATGGTGGGAATACTTACACCATGGAGATGGGCAGATGCTACAAATTCACTCCCACTCTAGAACCAACTGTTAAACATGGTACAGATGCACCACTGTGTACCACATGTGGACAATAATCTGATTCAGGGTTTGAGACTCACAGAAGTAGCTGGAGGTGAGGGAGTAGAAGATGGCAAGAGAGGGTGACGTGATGCATCATGGGACTTGCTAGCCAGGGAAGGGAGGCCTAAATGACTGGAGAGCAAGATGAAGGGCAGAGATGTGAAGGCTTGGTCAGGTTGAGGTCAATGAGCAAGCCAATGTAATGGGAGCCAAAGAGGAGATAAACTCAGGTGGTAGAGATTCACTGAGGATTTGCAGGGGGGTGAGGGGGTGAGCATAGATCAAGGTACATGGTACGTACACCAGGATATGGCCCTAGCAGGAAAGGAGGGCAGGGAAAATACTGTGATTTCTAGGCCACACTGTCAGTATGGGCCAGTCTCAGTACAGTGGAGTCACACTAACCATCAGGGTAGGGATGAGAGTAGGGGAGAAAACATGTGACCCAAGTCTTTAATGAATGGGGCAAAATGATCAACAGTCCATGAGATATCTAGGACAAAGACAGCAGCAGGAGTTGGGCAGAGGACAAGACCATCAGAGGAGGAGGGACCTGTGCCCCAGGACAGAAGTCCACCCCCATCACAGAAAATGCAATTTATTTCCTAACCCTGCCTACTGAGTCAGTGACCAACCAACCCAGATGCAACGAACAGCTGAGTTCAGACTGTGGCCCTTAAGTGATTGTTCTCCATGAAAACAGACTAGGCTCTTTGGAGAAATGGCTCCTTTTAAGCCCAGGGGGAAAAAAGCACAAGCTAAGCTTGAAGCATCTTATCAGACCAGAAATTGAGGAAACTCTCACATCTCTTTGGTTGTGCCAAAGATCTTAGGAGGCAACTTAAAAGTTAAACTCCAACCATGATGTCTGTACTATATCACAGATTTAAAAATCATGGTACTACAGTATTCACAAAACCCCAACTGGTCAGCTTTGGGAAGAATGTTAAGGAATTAATTCTACTTCCGATAAAGGAGATCATGGGACATGATCATTTTCTGCAATCTTTTCCTGCATAGATCTTATTTCAAGCAACCAAACAGCTAGTACAAAATTCCTTTTAGAAGTCTAGTGTATGAACGTAGAAGGAATGACAGAAATCAGATATCACCACTTTAAGCCCGGTGATATAGGGTTCAGGCCATCAGTGGCTGATGGGACACTTTATAATGGACAAATCAGGCTGACCGCATCTGAGCCCCCCATTAATCTAACAAATATCACTTGGTCTGTCAACCTGCGTATGTGTTTGGAACTTTCCATGATTAAAAAAAAATCCATAAATAAACCCCAACTCATTTTTTACTATAACCACTATAAAATAGTTAGCTATTATATTTAACTTTTTTTAGGTCACATAAATGGGTGTCAGACACCCCCATTTAATATTACTTAATATGCAGCAATATTAAGGAGAGTTGGTTATTACGTTAAGAGAAATAAGCCAGTTTCAGAAGGATGGCATGCTTTCACTTGCATGAGGTGTCTAAACTATCAAAATCACAGAATCTAGGAGTGGTGTGGTGGCTGCCAGGGTGGTTATTGGGGTGTGTGTGTGTGTGGGGGGGGACTACGAAGTTGTTCGTCAAAGAGCATAAAGTTTCAGTTAAACAAGATGAGTAAGTTCTATGAATCTGCTGTATCACGCTGTGTCTACATATTGTGCACTTAATCAAGAGGGTAGATCTCAGGCTAAGTGTTCTTAATACAATCATAAAAAAAGATAGGGGGCTGGATCTGCCCCCCAGAGCAGTCCTTGCTTCCTGCACCATTGTTTCTCATCCGCCAGGCACCCCTGGATGCCGTAGGTGCGGTGCACTTCTGGGCCAGGGGCCCAGTTAGACACTAAGCAAGCAACACAGATGTGAGCACAGCTAAGGAAGTAGCTAGGGAGGACAGCCTGTGTCCCGAGGGATAAAGGACAAAGACAGAGATGCATCTGGGAAGTCCTCTCTGAAGAGGGGCAGGGAAGGAGGCAGGCGGGGGTGGGGTAGGTGGGTGGGGCAGTCCAGACAGAGGGCAGAGCAAGTGCGAGGGCATGAGCTTGGCTTGGACAGGAACGGAGAAATGTCGGAGGGGAAGGAAGCAGTGAGCAAGGGAGAGGCAGCAGTGCCTTGAAGCCAGGGGTGGGTGGTTTCTTACTTAGGGCCCTCCTAATAGGAGGGGTGCCACATGCTGGGTTTGCCCCCACTGTCCTGGTTTGCGCTCCTGTTCCCAGTGTAACTATTCCCAGTGCCGCATTTTGGTTTAGACAATAACAAACTTGGAGGTCACTCTCTCGTAGGCCACGGTGGAGAGTTTGGGTTTTGTTCCCAGGGCAGAGGAAAAGCACTGAGGGGCTTCAGTAGAGAGGTGCATTCTAATTTATAATGCATAAAGGTCACCCTGGCTGCTGCATGGAGAAGGCCTGCAGGGGAGTAGGCGGGAGGCCATTGTCCCCTTCCTGACTCAGCCGCAGTGTGCAAGGAGCCAGGCTGGGAAAGGCAGGGGCTGCCAGGCTTGGGGCAGCTGAGCTGCGGGCGTGGGCAAACACTTAGGGCCCAGGGGTCCCCAGAGCTGCTGGCCCCCCTCCTCTTACTCTGCTGACCCAGCTCTGGGCTTGCCAAGAGGAGCTTTAAGAGGTGCAAGGAAGCCCCAGAGGATACCTTCCAGGAAGGCAGGGAGGCTGGGGAGACAAAGAGGAAAGTTCTCCGGAAGAGGTAAATGACCCAGTAAATTTAAAACATGGCGATCAACCTCATTAACTTTCTATTTGATAACCTGCTCCAGTCCCTTTCCTTCTCACCCCCACACAGCCACTCCAGCCCCTGCACCTCCAAGAGGGGATTTCAGAATGGAGGGCCCAGGGCGCTCACACACCAGCTGGTCTCAGAGCTCAGGCAGCTTCTAAACTGAGTGAGAGCAGGGAGAGAGCTGTGGCTCCTGGTGTCTCTGGATCTGCACGGTGATGCCCAGGGCCTGCTGCCCATGAATGAATGAACACACTTAGACCCACCCACTGGTGCATCTACCTCTGGGGTTGGCACTTCTGTCTGGGATGTGGCAGGGGGAGGACATGGAGACCGCATATACCCAGCCCCCCACATGCCACGGGCAGCTGCCTGCACAGATTTCCATGGAGCTTGATCTTTTATATGTGGAGAGATCAGGAGTGTAACACAACCCCTGCGCTTGTAATGACAACCAAGAGGGGGAGGGGCGGAGAAGTTCAAAGTCTATGAAACATCCGTTGTCCCCCACAAAGCGGGGCGTGGGCACCTGCCTAAGAGACCAGAGGACCTTCTACGTTAAGGTGGAGCCACCTGAGGGGCCATCCCTGTCCGGGCGCAGGGAGGCACAGTCCCTGGCTCAGGAAGGAAGGGAGGGTTTGGTGGGAGCGGGTCACTCACCGAGCGGCAGCACGAAGAAGAAGGGGAACCAGCACAGCACGAAGGCGCCCACGACGATGGCCAGCGTCTTGGCTGCCTTCTTCTCGCGGGAGAACTTGAGCAGGCGCACGGACAGCGAGCTGCGGAAAGTGTGGCCCTTGGTGCTGCGCATCCCTCCGTGCGCCCCGTCTGCGTTGGCGCTGGCGCCCCGACAGTGGATGCGCAGCACGACGTCGGAGGCCTTTCCGCGCTCGCGCTTGACCCCCGCCTCGAGGCTGCGGGTGGTGCTTCGAGCCACCACGTACACGCGGCAGTACATGACCACGATGATGGCCATGGGCAGGTAGAAGGAGCACACGGAGGAGAAGACCGCGTAGCCTGCCTCCTCGGTGATGCCGCAGAAACGCTCGTCTGGGGGCACCGGCTCCTTCCAGCCCAGCAGCGGCCCCACGGACACCACGAGGGCCACCACCCAGAGCAGCACCAGGATGGCGGCCGCCTTGCGCTCGGTCATGATGGCTGGGTACTTGAGCGAGTGGCGCACGCCCACATATCGGTCCACCGAGATGGTGCAGAGGCTGAGGATGGAAGCCGTGCAGCACAGCACGTCCACGGCGGCCCACACATCACAGAAGGCCCGGCCGAAGGCCCAGAAGCCCAGCACTTCCATCGTGGCAGAGAAGGGTAGCACCGTGGCGCTCAGCAGCAGGTCGGCCACGGCCAGGTTGACTATGAAATAGTTGGTGACTGTCTGCAGGTGGCGGTTGCAGGCCACCGAGAGGATGACCAGCAGGTTGCCCGCTACAGCCAAGAGGATGAAGGCGGCCAGGAAGACGCCCACGCCCACTCCTTGCGCGCTCACCACCAGCCCCCCGACGGCCGCTGTGCTGTTCACCTCGCCGCCAGCGCCCGCGCCCCCCGGCTCGGCAGCCGAGCTCCTGTTGTCCTCGCCGCCGCCCGCGCCCACCACGCCGGCCCCGCCGCCGCCCACGGCTCCCGGCACGCCGCCCACCGCCGGGCCCTCCGAGGCGGCCGTGCCGCCCGCGCCCCCCGCGCCGCCGCCGGTGCTGGAGCCGCCGGCGCCGCTGTCCGGGCGGGGTCCCTCGAAACTGGCGCTCAGGAGGTCTCGGAAAGTCATCTCAACGCGCGGCCGTCGGGGCCCGGGCCCGGGCGCAGGGCGAGCGGCCGGCAGGGAGGGGGGCGCCGGGCATAGCCGCCGGGCGTCGACTCCAACCCAGCGTCGCGGCCCCGTCGGGGTCCTGCCCAAGTCCCGGGACGCGGGGCGCGGCTTACCCGCGGGTGCAGCGGGGCCGGCCGGGGATCCCGGAGACCCGCCCCGGAGTCGGACCGAAGATCCGGGGCCGGCGGTGCGCGCGGCTCTCTGAGCGCGCCCGGGCGAGCGGGCGAAGCGGCGGCTCCGGGCCGGGCGGCGCAGGCAGCGGCCACTGCGGTGCTCGCCACTGGGCGCAGGGGGCGGGACGGAGGAGGGGCAGCGTCGGGAAGGAGGAGGGGGCGACCGGCGCGGAGAAACGGGGCGCCACCCACACCCCCCGGCAAAAGGGGCTCTGAGCGCAGCGGAGCCGGCGTGACGGGGTGTGGAGGGGCCGCTGGCGGGCGCCCCGGTCCGCGGCGGCCACCCCGCCTGGCTGCGGGTGCTCACGCGCGCGCTCTCCCCCAGCCGTCCGCGCCGAGCGCTTTCCTCGCGCCTCTCCGGGCTCCCTCTCCCCCTCTTTCTCTCGCTGCGAACCCCTTCCTCCTCCCGCCCTTTCTCCAGCCTGGCGGTCACTTGCTCGGTGCCCTTGGGCGCGCGGAGTTAGAAGGCGCGATTCCTGCCTCTCGGGTTCCCGGCTCTGGCCGCCAGAGAGCAGCAAGCGCCCGGGACCTGCGGGCTGCGCGCTGGACCGGGCGCCGCGGCGGGTCACCTCCCGGGGACTGCCTGGATGGCTCTGCCGCACTGCCTCCCGCTCTCGGGCCGCTGGGGGGGGCGGGGGGCGGGGGGGCGCCTCAAACCACTGCCCAGTGCGTTGGCATAGAGAGCGCCCTGGAAAGGGACAGAACTTGTCCTGGCTTGTGCTGGGCACAGAGTCAAGAGACTATATGGTTATAGCCCTCGGAACAGGTCCAGGACACATTGGGCTGCAGATGCCAACTTCTGCATGGGGACTTTATGCCACGCCAGGTCTGGGAATTGAACTTGCTATTGCTGCACTAAATAAGTGGCCGGGTTCCGGGGCGGGAGGGTTTAAGTGCTGGAGGGTGAGAAAGGCCACTTGGCTGGATGGTTGAAGAGTGGGGGAGAACCCTTCGGCTCCAGATTTAGTCGACTTGACCTCCGTGTCTCAGTTCCTCATCCATAAAATGAAGATCCTAGTGGTGTCTACCCGATGGTGTGAAGGTTTAAAGGAGTTAACATGTTATAGGGCCCCAGGGCAGTGCCTGCGTTTGACAGCTGAATGGAGCTTGGCAGGACAGGTTCAGCCCGGGAAGGCAGAAGGCAGAGGGGGGTGTGGAGCTGATAAGAATAGAGGCCACAGGTGGAGGGGAGGGTTTGAGGAACTTCTTGCTGGGCATGGGGAAAGACAAAGGGAGATCATTAGGTCAACATGAACCTGCTAACCAGCCTGCTGTCTTGTGCAGGCACCATGCTGAGCAGGTGGGTGGCAGGGGAAGGAGTATTGCAGAGAGGATAATGCCACCAGGTAGGTCCAGGCTGAGGAAGTCTTTAGCAAGGCAGGGGGATGGAGGCCCAGTAACTCATTTGACCTTCATACCCTTAGTTTGACACCACTGGTGTCTAAAACTCTCACTTTACGCATGTGGAATTGAGGCACAGAGGTCAAGCTGCCTAGTTCTGGAGCCAGACTCTCTACCTCCCCTCCCCCTTAAACCCTCCTGCCAAGTGGCCTTTTCCACCCTCCAGCCCTGAAACCCGCCCTCTCTACTCCTCTTACTTAGTGTAGCAATAGGAAGTTCAGTTCCGATATCTGATTTGGAGGGAGAGGTGACTGGGAGTGGGCAGAGGACCCGGCCCCACTGACTGGGAGTGACACGGGAGCTGGATATCTGAGTGTCCTGAATGACAAGTTGCTTTGAGATACAGCAGAAAATGGGGAAATGCTGAGATGGGTCACCCCCTTGCACTCTGCTTCTTCAGCCCGGGAATTCAAGGCTGTTACAGTTGTAGCTTGGATGCAGCTCTTCCAAGCTGGATCAGCTGTCCTATTACATTTTCCACCTTTTACTTGGGTCTTTGGGAACTTACCATGGAGGGTGAAATGGCAACAAGATGGCTTATAAGAATTTCGTGGCAGCAAGTAATGAACAAAAGCACCACCTTGGGTTTGGGCTGTCTCTCTGCAGGGAGGGCAGAGGGTGCTGGAAGGAGAGGCCAGGAACTCCTTGTATGGGAGTTTTTTGTTGTTGTTTTTTAAAAATATTTATTTATTTATTTATACAAGAACCGGGGTATAGGCCAGAGGCACGGGAGGGTGAGAGGATTCACCAGAGACAGAGTGGGGAGCAGAACAGGCAGACTGATGAAATACACTGCTGAGGGGAGCAGTGGGCGAGACAGGAGAGGTCTGCCACGCCATGTGGGACCCTCGCCGGCCAGCCAGGATCGAACCCATGCTGCAGAGGCTGCGGACAGCTTCACAGCACTGTGCTCAAACGCCTGTGCCACCAGGGGAGGCCCTGTATGGGAGTTTTGATGGCAGGCTCTGTGCCCACAACTGGCAGCCATCTGACGGTGCAGAGGAGAGGGGACTCTGGTGAAATACAGCTGATTCAGGCTTTAGTCAGTTTGCAAGGACAGCTGCCAGTGGGACACATGGTCAAGAGCTACAGGTGTCACATTGTGCCTGATTATGGTCTGGGAGCCCACAGAAGGCTGTCTGGCAGTGAACTTGCCAGCAGAGGGAGGAACTGTGGGGTGGGGGAAGGGGGTGGGTGCTGGAAGAAGATCGGGCAGCTTCACTGCGTTTCAGCTCTTCCAGGTCTCAGAAAGTCTACAAGAGGATTTTGGAGGTTCTAGAGTTCTAAGTAGAGGAGCACGGAGGGGCAGGAGTTGTGACATTGCCTATGAGTTTCCTCTACCAGCTTCTCAGATGCTTACATGGGGAAGGGGTCACATAGCTATGGGGACTGGTGAGTCCGGGAGACTCTGCCAGCCCTGGGGCTCCCTGTGACCCAGCAGCGTGGATCTAGTGTCAGATGGAGAGTGAAACACCTACGTTTTACTTCTCTCCCTTAGGTGCCCCCTTTAGAATGGGAATAAAGAAAAAGGAAAGGTTTATCCCATAACTGAGAGGGAACTACTAGGCTGATAAACCTGAACTTTAGCCCCTGAAGAGAAGGCTTGAAAAAATCCTACTAAAAAGGGTTTGCTATCTGGACCGAGACTGCTCATGAAGATGGCCCAGGGTACTTTTCACTTCAGAGTTGGACGCTGCACGGGAGAGGACGCTGATGCATCTGCTGTCCTGTGGTCAGTCTCTAGGCCTCACCCGCTGAGCCCAGGCAGCCTTTATTCATTAATTCAAGGGGATATGATGAGAAAAGCCAAGTCCTTGCCATCTGAGCTTCACATTCAAATGGCAGAAGGTGGTACCAAGAAGTGTTAGGAGAACTTCCCTGTTGCTATGGACAAAAGTTTTCTTTGGGTTTGATATCTGGGTTCTAGAGATTCCTTTCAATTAAATCTTCAAAGAAATTCCAGATCCAAAGGGTCCCTTTTCTAGCACCTCTCCACATCTGAATAGCAGGGGAGCCTGGAGGGTGCACAGTCAGGCTTGTCCTTGAAGGTGTGGCTGTAGATGCTACTTCCTGAAACCAGGTTCTATGAAGAACATCAACATCCATTCTCTGCTTTAGCTGTGACTGGATCGCCAGCCATTATCTGACCTTCAAGCTTGCCGTGGCCTGACCCTACCCCTGCCTATAACCTGGCCCGTAGCCTGGGCTGACTCACAACCTAAGCCTCCCTGATCTCCCTGATATGTCAGTTACCCAGATACATACACCCAGCAAGGGCATTAGGCGAAGACGTGAGGGCTCCACGCTTCCCTCTCCCACCATGAGGACCACTGAGTTTTGTGCTAGGACTGGTCACCTCTCAGTGGTCATGAGAGTGTGCAGGCAAAGGATGTTGTTTCTGCAGGAAGGAGATACTGAGTAATCCATCCTCCCAGCCCCATTCCTAAGTCAGCAGAGGCCGCTGGGGACTTGAAGTCAGTGGGATTTGATTGTTTAAGCTCATGTTTGCCTAAAATCAATGTAGTTGGAAATTAGTGACTATATCTCCCATCACAGAGAAATGGCAGAGGCTGGGGGTGGGCGCCAATGGAAAGACAGATATTCCTACTCCGAGCCTGGCAAGCTGCCCACTGCTTAGGGGACCCTTGGGGGGCCTGTTTGCTTTGCAGCTGTGTTTGCTTCTGCTCCTAAGAGATATGTGTTTGTTTCTTTTTATTTTCTTCAGGAAAGGAAATAAGCTGGGAAGCAGGATATTGGAGAAAGTTGGAAGACCCACTAGAGTAGAAAACTCTCAGAGCAGGGCAGAGAGTAGGATAGATCAGAGCTGTAATAAACAATTCCCAAATTTTAGTGACTTAGCATAATGAAACTCTTTCTTACTCTGTCCAGTCTGAATGTACCTGGTTGGGCAGGATTCCTGGACAGATCCATGGGAAGATTCAAGAATCCAGTCTCCTTCCTGTGTGTGGCTCTACTGTTTTGTAGAACTTTGGAATTCTCTCTGGTCCTGAAGATTGCTTCTAGATGGTCTATATTCAGCAACATTCAGTCTACATTTAGGAACAAAGGGAGAGTGTGGAAGATTACATGGATGTTTTAGGAGTTAAACATAGTACTTGTAATCCACTGAGATGCAGGGGGCCATGTGGTTCAGCCGATTGCCCAGGAAAAGGGACTGAATTTGACGACCATCCAGTGTGTCTGTGCTGCTTCAAGGGTATCAGAAAGACTCGAGAACTAACTAGGCAATGCCAGATGGGTAGATTGCTCTGAACCCCCAGCTGACACTCTGTCAGGCTCAGCAGTTACTTTTTTTTTGACATTTCATGTGCCTGTTCTTTCTAGACAAGACCCAGCATGCACATTTCCAGCATGGCTTACTAAGATAGGCTTAGAGTTGGGGATACCATTTGGCAATAAGCTGGTAACAGCAACA